TCCCACTTGTGACCTTCCACTAGATCCAACCACCTTTACATCATCAGCGAAAATGAAGCAATGTGAGCTGGTAATTTCTGTTAGATCATGTATGAACAGCAGAAAAAGAAGCGGGCCTAACACCGACCCTTGTGGCACGCCACTGGTGACATCATGGACTGGTGACATTTGTTCTCCTACCCTGACGCAGAATGTCAAGAATGCTGCTATCCAATTATATGCTGCCCCTGTGATTCCGAAAAAACTTAGCTTGTGTAGAAGCAATCAGGTCACCTCAGGTTGCGCAGGGCGGAAAAAGCTTTCCCCTACCAAGCGTCCAGATTCTTGCCTCGGTAGGAAGTTTTCTTCTCCGAAAGCTTCAAAAATCGTTTCAGTTGCTGTCTTGCTAGTGTTTTACCGCAGGACACTGGTTCCAGTACGATATCTGTAAGGGGGAATAATTGGAAAATAAGTAGCATGTCAACCATAAACAATCCCAGACTCTGATTCTATACTACCTCTTGGTATGCTTGATTCCAACTCCTGTCTAAATGCCTCTTGAAATCGAATGTACTCGCACATTCCATCAGGTGAGGTGGTATCTGATTCCATCTATCAACCACTCCGTTCGAGTAGAAGTCAAACTGCACACCGAGGCGAGCCCTTGGTTTTGAGAACTTTAAGCTGTGTCCCCTAGTGGCCTCTACGGGCACTCGAGTGAACAAACTTTCGGCGCTTACGGTGGTGAATCCTTTCATTATCGTAAACGTTTCTATGAGGTCACCCCTGAGGCGTTTTCTTTCCATAGTAAAGAGATCTAACGCTTCAAGCCTTTTTTCATATGGCTTGCCCCTCACGCACGAAACCATTCGGGTCGCTAACCTCTGAACTCTCTCGATGCACTGAATGTCTTTCTGCAGGTAGAGTGCCCAGGCCTGGATACAGTATTCTAGGTGGGGTCTCAACAGAGTCTTATACAGTCGGATAAATACTTCTGCTTCTCGATTGCTCAATGTATTTCGCAACTGGAATAGCTGACCTCTAGCCCTTTGTGCTGCAGCTTTGCATTGGTTTTCTGGCTTGTAGTTCTCGGAGACTACTATTCCTAAATCCTTCTTTTGGGCTACGCGTGTTAGTTTGGTGGTTTTCGCCTCCGTGCTTACCCTAACTGGACCGCCGTCAGTGTTCAATATGTGACACTTTGACGGATTTAGTTCTAGGTACAGTCAGTTCAGTTCAGTTCAGTCTAGTTCAGTTTGCACAGGACGAATATGGCTCTTGCCAATCGAGCGTCTAGTTCATTGTGTTGTCGGCGGATGGGAGTAGCTTCCAACACTGGGTACAGTTGATTGGGTATTTGTGATCCTCTCACTTCAACCCATTATTCAGAACGTTGTCTCCTTGGGATATGCTGAAAGGGAGGAAAACAAGCAAGGATATCTCCTCGCTTCATTGGTCAGAGACCTCAAGTACACATGCGTTAGTATACAAAGGGTAGTGGCTTGGCATCCCAAATATTAGGACATCTAAAAACGATCGATTTTTCAATGTATTTTAGAAAAACTGATGTCGAATTCAGCCGAAATGGAACAGATTTTGCTCTTGGCTGATTCTGAGTGACTTGTTAAAATTTAATTTGTTTTAATTAACCTTAATTGACTTTGTACAGAAAGTGTAAATACCGCAACCTAATTCCGACGATCACTTTCACGCTCGTAACAACGAAACGGTTATTTTTGAACGGATGGTAAAAAATTGCCGTGAATCGCTGAACGGATTCTTGGAGGACTTCCGTGAATTCCAAAGAGTTACTTGCACTTCCTTCTACGTTTATGCGTCAGTGACAGCCAAACAACTGATACGGAGAAGGAAGTTTGGTCGGAAACTGACTCTGCCCGAGGGTTTTCCGTATTATTTCATCAAATATTGTTGTGTACATCACAGAAGGCGCGGCGCAATTGCAACCAGGTAATTATGCCTCTCATTTCTAATGTATTTAACCCATTTTAGGCTGCAAAATATCGATTGTCCGGCATTCGTT